TTTGGTCTTGAAAAGAGGAGACTGTTCAGGCTGTATGAAGGAACCCAATTCAAGTATGGAATGGAATGGAAACCAAGAAATGCTTTTTAAACTGAGAACAGAAGGCATGTCTATGAACTACTGTAAATCCCGAACAAGCTGCCCTGCAACGTTGTCAAAGCCAATAGCATAGCTTTTTTGTAGCTTTTTGGAAGAAAAAGCTAGTTAAGTTCTTCAGATCACTGAGCTGCTGAAAACCAAACAACCTAGATGGGTTGAACAGCCTCCTGTTGCTTGCAAACTGTCTCATGTTCTTATGAGAATTAGATGTCAAGTCAAGACACAGCTCATCATGAGCAAAGCCTTTTAAAAACGCTCTTTTTCTCCTCTTTTAAAATTAAGTGCCGTAAAGTAACAGATCTGAGAAGCAATACAGTAACACATGGTACAAGTGTTCAGATAATGTTTTGTCCACTGAGTTTTGGAAATAACATGGAATACCACAACGTAAAAGATCAAAGGAGATTTAATACATGTCTCATTATTTTTATTTCGTCTATCAATCTGTTAATTATTTATTAAAGGTGAGGGGAAAGGTCTTTAATATCGTACAGACCAGCACAGAAAGTGGCACAATCACTACTATAGTAAAGTAAATTGTACTGCACATTAGATGATTCCATTGAATTTCCCAAACTTCGAATCCTTCCCTTCTTTTAGCCTACAGAAAGCTTCTTCACAGACAGGACATAGCAACTCCATCCATTTTCTAACTATTTCATCTAATTCAGGGTTGCAGGGGAGCTTGAGCCTATCCCAGCAAGCACTGCGCAGAAAGTTGAGTACGCTCTGGACGGGATGCCAGTCCATCGCAGGGCACACACAGACACAAACACAATCACGCACACACTTACACCCAGGGCCAGTTCTCCCAGAAGCCAATTAAACTACCAGTATGTCTTTGGACTGTGGGAGGAAATTGATCTTAGCAACATGAGGAATCTTAACTAAAATTTTATAACAAGGGTCTTGTACTTTAGTAAGATTGTGTCACATCTGGAATAGCAATTGTGTAATCACTATTCCAAACTTCTGTCCTCACGAAACAGGGTTTTGGTCATTTTTAGATTAGCAGTAATGAAAAATGTGATTCTGTTTTTCGGTAATTGTCTAGATTCTAGAGCAGTGGTTTCCAATCCTGGTCCCGGTGACCCACACAACTGTTGTTATTTTGTTTCAGCCGAGCCCACAGTTACACAATCAAACCCTTCACTGACTTAATAATGAGATTCATTTGAACTCTTGGTTTCTAGCTCCTACATAATGCACGTTGGAGCTGTAACTGTTGTATTTTGTAAGCGACATAAAATCCCAAACTTGTTACTAAAACCAAATGACAAATATTCAATTGCAGCAACTTCTGGGATCAATATAGGTTTTAATTCTCTAATTTACGTGAGATGGAATGAAAACCAGCAGGTGTATGGGTCACCAGGACCAGGATTGGGAACCACTGCTCTAGAGCAAGGTACTGTAGAACAATTCACAATCTTCTCCAGCTGTCCATACTCCTTCACAGAAACTTCCATTGCTTTACGGAAACGTTGTACTTTCACTGTTCCTACATTTTGTACTCCTTTTGATGCCCACAATGGCAACGTTCTAGTTGTAAAATAAACACATACACGTAATTAGGATGTAATAAACCAGTACTGTGCTAAAATGCTACAACACTTCTTTATTACATCTCACGTTGAGAACAGGGCCTTTAGAGACTATTTTCGTGAATGTATCAGAGCTGTTCGGTTGTAATTAAACCTTTAACTTCACTTACTGTACAGTACACATTTCGTGCATTATTATTGCTATTAACTGTGAAATAAGTTCTGTCGTACTATCACTCTACATGAAAAAAAAAGTCGAAAGGGCTATTACGACGGATGAAGAACGCTGAGTTACGATGTGACATACCCATTTGTGGCGTGTTTATGAGAGCAGACCGAACTTTCAAAATGAGCTCGTTTAATGAAAGCGCATTTTAATTTCAACTAGAATAGCGCAAATTCCAGGGTTTATTTACTGAAGTGTATTCTAATTAGCTAAGTTGATCAATAGGCAGCAAGACGATAGTACCCGACAACAGAGCATTATTTTCTGAGATACACCACCAAGCATCATTAGAATCTGAAACGCAGTCAGAAAAAGTCTTTTAAACTTGCATTTTATAATACCAGTTCAGTAGTTTTGTGTTTTACATAGCAATTAGCCATCCATTTAATACATTTGTTTTTTTTTTAAAGTGTTTCAGGAGTTACATCCTCAAAATTTTAAACATCATTATTGTTTAAAAGAATACTCTTGCTGACTTTTACACATTTGCGTAAACAATAAAAATATAAATGATCACAAACACCATTTCCTATCGTTCAGAAATTATAGTCCAATAAAGCAATAAATGTCATTTTCCTTAAGTCAGACAACTTCAAATACAATAGTTTGACATTTTAACGATAAGGCATACCAAGTCTTTTTTTCACAATAACAAGGTAAATCAAAGATCTTTCCATGCAAAGCCCATCATATTTTAAATGCTAGAAATGCACAGCACAGCGCTACAGTTTGTATAATTAAGGAATAACGAAGCAAAGGCGTTGCTCGTGAATCAAAACCGCAGTACCAATGGAACACATCCTGACCAAGAAACCATAGATAATGATAGCCTGTGTATTAACAAATGAACAATACAGAATACGTTGAAATAATCAAAATAAGACCCATTTGTTCCCTTTCAAAACGATACTTATAAAATATAGTTGCCAGCAAAAAAGACTTGTATGTATATAATAATGTACAGTATCCACACATATGCGCGCATACATGCTCATACACACAACCTTAATAAAGACCGTCGAACGTTAAATGCCTGTGTGAAAGAAACTGAAGGAAAAATGTAAAATAATATTTATATATAAAAAATAAAATAATGATAACTAATTAAAAAGATTCGAAGGCAGATAGATGTTGTGTAATCACCATAACGCCTTCTTATTATGAGGAAACTAAGCTATAGAGCACATAGCAGAATCACCTATCAGATCATTAGAAAGTGCAACCATGAGAGCTACTGTACTAGCTACATCGTCCTGGACGACCAACCACTGAAAAGGGAGATAAATCCTTTCCTATTTAAAGCCTGCTATAAATCATCACATCTCATGCTGTTATAATAGTGATAACTCACACGATTCTACTCAAGCTATTATATCTTACAAGAGATACATGCTTGGCCACCAGTACTTACAGTTTCACCATGTATGCCAGGAGACGGAGGTAATTCTTTGCCTTGATTACATCCGTTTGCACCGGGCTCTTCATAGAGGACCGGCTGCTTATCATCCATGCGCATGCGTCTGCTTGACTTTTTTTTAAGAACAAGTATATCTTGCTCCTTCTACTTAGATGTCCAAAATGCTGTAGTCGAGTACTGTTGAAGAGCCATAGCACTGCCCAAAAGACGTCCTCATGTGATTAAAAAAAAAAAGATTGCAATGAACAAAACGCCAATCGAACAGAGGAATTGTACCTTTAAAAAGGAGGAGCTGATTTCAGTATGTTTTCACAGCGGACTGAATATTGAGTAGTGAACCGTGAACACTGTAGCGGCCGATTATAAAGCTTCTTTAGGACGTATGCACTTAGGGAAATGTATGATTTCTTTATCTGAGATATAGCATGGTTCTTTATTGCTTAACGTCCTTCATTTTATCACTCATTTGTAAGGTCTCTACCGTTAAAGTAGGCAAAGATGAATTAGTGATGTGCAGTGAAGGTAAATGACCAAACATGAATTCTGTATATATTATTAGGATATATATATATAATTAGGGTGAATGGCAGAGTTTGCAAGTATAATGTGTTATCTCCAATGCGAATTTTATTTTTGTATTTCACTACTGATCGCCAACTGAGTTTTATTCATACAGACTAAACAGTGGAGATTAGCAGCTATGAGTATTATCAAAAGGATGATGAAAATGCCGTTTCGTTAACAGACGTAAAGTTCACACTGAAAATAAAAAACAACGATAAATTTCCGCAGATCAAAAATTGACCTAATACATAAATAACATTGGCGTCACTTCCTCTAATTTTGCCAGAGTTGGAATCAGGGTTCCCTAGTTACACAGCTAAAAGCTTCAAAAATAACCTCAACACTTACAAGTACCTGCATTTACTCCTTGATGATGCTGACAGTGACGGCGATGCTGCTGTTGCTGTTATTGCTGCTGCTGATTATATTAACACGACAGTTACACTACGTTCGTTTTGTGGCAGATACAAGTAAATTTACATGTTACATTTATCGTGTCCTTTTAGGATTAGCAGTTTGACATTTGTACTTACATTTATATCAGCGTGCAATCTGACAATCTCTTCATCATTTTGGTTTAAACATCTGACTTTAATGATAATTAATGCTTTGCCAGTGACAGTCATACGAAATAAGAGTCTATAAAAGAATAATTTGACATCACTAACGTGTATTTTAAGCATGGAACAACACCGCTTTATTCCCATGAACTATAGATCTACAAGACATTTAAGAGATTACAGGATCGTAAATTACTCCCGAATACGTGAGTAGTTACGAAGATACATATATGCTTTAGCAGAATTGTGATATATCTGGCCTATATGCCTAAATAGACTGTATATTTATTACGCATCATGCTCCATTAATCACAAAGCATTTAAACGTAGATTATTTATTTATTTTAAAATAAAAAATAATTTATTACGTTTTCTAAAATTTAGCCTAGTAATTCCCACTCCATGGAATGTCATGTCCTGGAATTCAATTATTCTTTTTACATTTATTCTATACAGTGAGTGTGGCACCTCTTATCCCAGCTAGATTGACCGCTTTAATTATCCTTGTGTAAAATCATTGTGGCCACCTCTTCAGAATATCGTGCTGCACACTGTCTTATTTTATTTCAGTAACCACCATCACACACACCGATGGCACCTTTTATTTTCCTTCATAGTACAGTACGTGCACTGAGCAGAAAATTTGGTATCCTATTAGTTCGTCATACTGTATTCTGTATTGTGAGTGGAGAGATGTTCTTGCAATGTAGCTTTTAATCATTTGTGTAAGTGTTGCTTAGAAACAATAACATATAGACGATAAAGATGTATTCACGTTCTGAAATACTGTATGCGATTTCTGCTATAGATTACATATAAACGATTCTTTATTACGACTACAAGATTTAATAAGACACGTTTTGTGATTCAGCAGTTCACGTGTTCTGCTTAACAGACGTTAAGTATTTCCTGTGTTTTATTTAGAAGGTAACGAGATCCAATGTAACAGGTCCTTCGTCGATCGTGTTAAAGTAAAGTATAGGATTTCATTAATTATTTATTTTGTTTTCAGAAAATAAAAATGCATTTTGTTAGAAAATCTATTTAGAAACTACGATATGTTTTATGAGAAACCGAGATATTTATCATCACAGAAACAGATTTTTTTGTAATACCCACTGAAATAAAAGGTACCTGTTCTTGTTTTCATAAAAGAATAAACATTTGATAACAGGAAAACAATAAATATTAACACCAAGGTTCTGCACAAAAATAAGTTTATCTCTAAGCACCTTTATTTGACGTTTAAAAAACAACCTATAAAGCATTTTAAATGACTTCAAAGTTATTGTTCATATATGATCACTTCACAAGCACTTAATTATCAATAAAGTTGAACATAAACTTCCACATACAGAGTCATGTTTCTGTAAAACGTTTTTCAGAAGTGAAAAGAATTATTACATTTCTAAAAATCTGTATCAAAAGACAATGTCCATTTTCTAAGCTGAGTAGTGCATACCATCCATATTTGTCTGTTTCTGTTGTGTGTTATCTATAGTTAATATTTTTGAGCCTGTTTAAATTGCCAAAGGAGGAAGAAAATATTACTCACCTCTTTGCCATTCAGAAAGCATATTCATTCAGCTTTCTGGTGATAACCATAACAGATATAATATTGTAACTGGATTTGTAATGTTTCTGGGATGTTCTTTTTTGTGTTTGCAGAGGTTTATAGATTAAAAAATGAAACAAAAGAACACCCCACAAACAATATGAATCCCAATCCTGCAATAAGACAAACCAAAAAGAACACATATCCCAGCCAATGTAATTTCCATAAAATTCATAACTTTTATGGAACCTTTGAATATAAGAAGACAAGTCTATGAAAAATCAATAAAATGTTCTTTTGTCTCAGCATTAGGCACATTGTTTGGTTAGAATACAAGTTTGGTTCCAAGCAATAATTTTCCCACAACTTTCTTTACATTGTAATTCTTGAATGTTAATAAAGTTGCATATCAATAAAGTTGTAAAAGGTTTGAACTGCGAGTCCTGTTCCATAAACGTTCAGTTGTTGTGATGTGTCGCAAGGATACTGTACATAGACCGGCACTGCAAACATTTTTGAAAATACTGTGTTACTGTTAGGTGCGATTATGTTTATGCAGTCTGCACAGAGAAAAGCAGTAACCACAATGGACCTAAAGCAAAGAGTAGATATATTGTAGCATTGTGTGTATGCAT